CAGATTTTCCATGGCATTGATATCAATGTTATTCAGCCTGATCTTACATTATAGCCCCTCATGTGGTGGTGCTGTGGATTAAACCGCAGAAGCCTCTGTGCTCAGAAGACCAAGCAGTCGTAAGATTGAATCCACATGACAGAGTGAGCTTCCGTCGCTTGTCCCAGCTCCTGCCAACCTAGCAGTTCGAAAGCATGTAAAAATGTGAGTAGATAAATAGGTACCACCACGGTGGGAAGGTAAGGGCGTTCTGTGTCTAGTCGTGCTGGCCACTTGACCACGGAAACTGTCTTTGGACAAACGCTGGTTCTATGGCTTGGAAACGGGGATGAGCACCACACCGTAGAGTCGGACACAACTGGACTAAATGTCACGGGGAACCTTAACCTTTTTACCTATCTGTGCTACATCTTGCCTCAGTATTAAAACCACACCCTAGCAGAGTGTAAACCCAAAATTGTGTAACTGGTGTCCACAATCATCTCAAATGGCTGTCATATGCTTGGACATACCCAGTTACATACCCTGTAGTGTGCCCAGATACATGACAGACAGCATAAAAGTATAAAAAACAAAATACTTGCACAATTTCCTGCATATGTGTGGTATTTTAAAATAAGCTGGTGGCCAATGTTTTATGCAGTTCATTTGTGTGGACTAAAACAGGCCATAGCAAGGGCCCAGGAAGAATTTGTACAAGTTAGCAGCTGCTCAGATTTGTAAATTAAACCTCTTCCTGCTCATAAATCAGACTTTTTTTTCATTTAACTTAGGTGGGTCTGGGTGACAGCATTCTGATGGACTCTATCCATAGTACATCCCAGTCTAAGGGCTCATTAGTAGTATGCTGAATGGTGCTGGGTGGGGACATGAGAAAAATGGATCACATGGTTTCTTACCTATGAAACTCATTGGGTGGCCTTAGATAAGTAAATATCTTCCAGGGTTGCTGCCAGGAGAAGGTTGAGGGACAACATGAGATAAGGGTGCATTGTATACTGGCCTGAGTCCTTGGAGTGGTGTTGAAAATAAACAACATTTTAAGAAAAGAGATTGCAAGGATTGTTCCAGTGAGGTAGAGCAGCAGGCATTTGCAAATGGTGCCGGCAGAAGAAGTAATCTAGCTACCATTCCCATGTCTTGAGAAGCCATCTTCAGATAAGGAAAATCACATTATACAATGGCTGCTGATGAGGATATGGATAAGGCCTTGTCTGGAATCCCCTAGACTAACCACCCTGCTGTTGAGGAAGGAGGAGAGGGGCAATGTGAACTATAACCTTCATGATAGTAAAACAATAGACCCAGGGCTGGACCAGTACATTTTACCGACTGAGGGAAAGAACATGTTTTGTCCTCCCCCTCCCACCAAAACCAACCACAACATAGATTATTCCAATCTTGGAGCCTAAATCCATGCCCTAGTCCTGCGGGAGAGCTTGCTGATTCAGAGCCCGGGTCTTTGCTAATATGTTACATCAGCTCTACCATAGCCTGCTCTCCCAGTTGCTTCCACCCTATACATCACATTCACAATTTCTTCGCTGTATTACAAGATGATGCACCTGTATTTCCAAAATTTAAAGAGGCAAGCTTCTGGGAACATTTGAAATGAATAGGAAGGAGAGGGAGAGGAGTGGAGTGGGGGAAAGAAATGCAGGTTGACCATCAGGTCTCCTGAGAAGAAGATGTTACTGGTCTCTGCCTCTAACCCAATTGCAAGCTAGCCATTATTCCACCAGGTTGAGGAACGTTGTACCATTAAGGATTTGTGTCTGGGTTCTTTGTTGTCTTTTTCAGTCTCATTCTTGCCTTCTTTTTTCTTTCTTTCCAGATGCAGGGCAGAGTACAAAATCACAGTTTGTCACAGCCATGAAGACAAGCAATCCTGTGGTGTGTTAAATCTGTTGAGGGCAAGAGCCTTCTACATTGGAAAAACTGCCTTGCCATTCTCTTCATTTTTCCAGCATACAACCAGGTACTATCTCTGAGACTCTTAAGACCTAAATCCAGGTCATAGTCCCAAATAGAGCACACACACCCAATTCAACTGATGAATGGTTAGTAATCAGTTATGTCCATCTCTTTGATCCAATGAGTCCACTCCAATGAGACTATCAATGGGATTGAAGCCTAAACATGTATTTATTAGCTTTCGGACAAATGTCTCTCAGAACCAAATTTCAAAAGATTATCTAGTCCACATGGTCATCTGTCCTGTCAACAGAGATTCAATAAACCAGCTGCCCAATGTCTCTAAAGAGAATCGCTTTGCCCTATAGCAATTCACAGACAATGGGAGAGGCTCTCGCTCACACTTCTCTCTCATGCTGTGCCTTTCTCCTCCTACCCTTAGAAGTAATACACCCAGACTGACAGAAACTCTGTCATGGGGCAGGGAAATTTTGACTAATAAGCTTTGAAGAACACTAGGAGACAATGACGACTGAAGTTCAGTCACCACTACATGACAGACTACAGAAGTTGTGCCTTCTTGGGAGTGATTGTTCTAATGTTTAAATAGCTACCTTTAAAATAATAAAGCAAACTTTAAAATAAAAAACACCTTTGTTTTAGACTTTCCCCCATAAATTCATCCTATGGCCATAACAATAAATTCACAAAACTCACAAGGTTGTACAAAATAAAGTACAATAATTAGCAGTTTATCAAGTGCCCCCAATTTTTCTTGAAGGGCTTCTTACTTTTTCTCAAAGGGCTAGGCAGGGGATTACCATTTACCAGGCACTAACTAATTAAAACTCAGGAAAGTTACTTTTTGGACTACATCTCCCAGAACCTTCTAGGTCAGTAGTTTCCAGCCTTGAATCTCCAGATGTTCCTGAACTACAACTCACAGAAATCTTGGCCTGCACAGCTGGTGGTGAAGGTTTCTGGGAACTGCAGTCCAAGTACAGCTGGGTTACCCAAGGTTGAGAACCACTGTCCTAGATTAATCTATTGATTGGCTTTATTGTCTGAGAGGTTGTAGAAGTTTTAGTTTTTTAAAAAGTAACTTTTCAAAGCTGTGAACTTATTATGCAAATTTTCTACTGAGTGGCTTATAGCTCAGTAAGCAGAAACACCTGGATGTGGAATCAGATATTGGGCATTTGATTTCTCACTGTGCTTCTTGGGAGAAGAGTCAGCCTGTGTAGCCTTGGGCAAGCTGCACAGTCCCAGGACATCTCCAAGAAGAAGGGGATAGTAAACTACTTCTGAATACTTTATACCTCAGAAACCCTGGCAAAGGTTGCTGTAAGCTGGAATTAACTTGTTGACACATAATTGTTATTATAAGCTGTATTACTTGAAAAAAGAAAAAAAAGGGAATTACTGTACTCTGCCCAACATATCACTACCTAGAGGAGTGCAGGAATCATGCATCATCTTGTTCCATAACAGCTACAGAACCGTAACTTAAACAACAGCCCTGCAATTTCTGGGAGTGACCAGCCATAAAGCTATCGTTGTTATTGGAGCTTCATCCTCATAAATGAATTTTTAACCCTGCTTAAAAATGTCACACATCTGTTTCCATCTTCCTGTTCTACAGTTTAAGCCCTTGATTTTTATTCTCCTTATTAAAACACCCCAAACCAGTCAAGCAGACTAGATGGCTTGCACAGTTAGCTCAGTGAGAGTGAAACCATCCATGTTTCGGGTAAGAGGCCAAACCCATTTCCTCTGTAACCTCTCTGTAAAGACTCCCAATGCTTTACAGAGGTATACATGCCACCACTCCAACATCTTATACCTATTAAGAATGATTTCAGTGCCAGACAGGTTTAGTGGTACAATCCTGAAAAAAAGCATATGAGCACATCAAGGGGGAAATGGATCACCGTCCAAATGTTGTTGAACTCCAGATCCCCTCAGTTCTAACTATCACGGTCTATGGCAGGAGTGATGGGAGTTGTAGTCCAACAACATTTTGAGGGCTGCACGTTACCTCTCCTGTTTGAAATACTGTGTTAGGCATCAATACATTTATCTGGGAGTAGGTCTCACTAAATTTTCAAGGAACTCAGACATACATAGGGTTGTACAGTGAAGAAACTAGCAAGGGATGAGTTAAAGTGCTTACAAATGCATTTATTCTTTACTAAATATGAATCCAGCAGAGACTCACAATCCACTAGTTGATTTTGTAATTCTGGTGGTCTATATTGGCAAAGTTACTTCAGGAAAAAAACCCAGAATCACCCAGCCAGCATGGCCACTGGGGCCTCCAGGACACTTGCTTATAACCTCAAAATTGTCCCGAGAACAAAAGACCCCAAAGATGGTTTATATTAAAATGAAATTATACATTGGGTTGCCACTCAAAATTGTCCCGAGAACAAAAGACCCCCAAAGATGGTTTATTTTAAAATGAAATTACACATTGGGTTGCCATCTCTCTCTCTCTTTCTCTCCCCCCTCCCTCTTTCTTTCTCTCTCTTTCTCTCTCACTCACTTACACACACACATGAAAGGGTTCAGTGGGTACAGTCTGCTGGGGAAAGCTTCACTTGTTAAACAGCCACTTGTCATGTTGCAAAGCAAAGCAAAACAAAGCAGTCAAGTCAGGAAAAGAAATATAGCAATCCTTGTTTAGAAATAAGTCCCATAAAAAACAGTAGGTTTTCCCTTCCAAATAACCATGTGCAGGATCAAGCTGTTTTGCTGCCCATCCTATGGATGCAAGCATTTGTATCCCACCTTTCGTTGCAAATGAGATCATGACAACCAAAGTAAAGAATAAAATACAATGTTAAACATGCCGGCAAAGTGTCAAAATACAAACCAGCCACTAGTGTAAAATCAGAGCTTGGAAAGGATCTTTTCTTGGATTATAGCTCCTTGAGCCGGCGCTGAAAATTACAGGAATTTTGTTGTTGTTGTTGTTTGTTCGTTTTGTTTGTTTCTTTTAAGAAAAGGATCTTGTCCAAGCTCTGGATGAAGTGACCCCATCCCTGCGATCAAGGGACGACTTCTCCAGCTTCTGTTCTGCTCACCTGAGAAGGTGTCCAGGGCTGTCGGCTGGTAGTGGTCTGGGTACCCATTGGTGGTATAGCTGACGATCAGGCTGGTTTTGCCCACCGCCCCATCTCCGAGGAGGACACATTTGATGCCCAGCTCGGAGCTCCTGCGGTCTCTGCATCTCCAAGAGCCGCTCTCGCCGCCGCCGCCGCCGCCGCCTCTTCGACCTCTTCTTCGTAGGGTCGGGGAGTAATCCAGGCGCTCCTGCGGAGGCATGGCCGGAGGAGAGGGAGCGGAGAGGGGGACCGAGTGGGTCCCTCTTTCGGAAAAGTTGTGGGGACTGAAGCAAGAAATGATGCTCCTGACTGTTGATTTCTCTCCCCCCGTCGCCCCCTCGGCCCCACAACTCCAAAAACAAAACAAACACCCTTTCAGGACGCGCCTATTTTGGAAGAAGACATGAATGAGGGTCAACTCCTGTTTTCCACGAGGAGTGGCCGTTTCTCTCTTTCTGGAGCGACATCCCTCAGGTATCTTGAAGTTGGAAGAAGAGAGAGAGTTGCAACAGAGAGAGGCGGGAACGCCACCCTCTTAACTTAAACTTCCCCGACCTGTCTGGGGTTTTAAAAATTACTGTTTAAACCCAGTCACTGAGATTTGCATAAGGCCACCTCCTTTCCTGGTAACCTGACGCTATACTACGCCTGTTTAAACAAACGCACAACTCCATGCTTGACTTACACTTTTCCTCAGACTTCTTTGAAAGGAGGGCTGGCTACTGAGTGGCTTAGTGTTCTGGTGTGTTTGTGTGTCTGCGTTACTGAATGTGTGAGGCCGCAGACGTTTCTGGCAGAAAACAGCAAACCTGCAGGGGGCTGGTCCTGACCTCTTGGCTTCTGAAGTGACTACCTTGGAGAGGAAGTTTCTGCCAGCTGTCATAAGACATTTCGAATCAGAGCTGGGGGGGAAACTGAACTACATAGATACCTTATTGGACTCTTATTGTTGCTCTGTGTCTGACATTTTTGGAATTATCTGCAACATGACCTGTCTCCTCAACAGCCCTGTTCACCTCTTGTAAATTAAGGCTTGTGATTTATTTCATGGAATCAATCCATCTCATATTTTGTCTTCCTCTTTTCCTGCTGTCTTCAGCCTTTGCTAGCATTATTGCCTTTTCCTTAGAATCTTGCCTTCTCATGAGGTGCCCAAAGGATGATGGTCTCACTTTCATCATTTTTCCCCTCCAGAGATAGTTCAGGCTTGAATTGATCTAGACCCACTCATTCCACTTCTTAGTGGTCCTGGGTACCTGCAAATCTGTCCTCCAGCACCACATCCCCCTGTGCATGATAGTCAGAATCCATGATCGCCATGGGATTACTCTGCCCCAAACTGTTACTTCTGCACACACTGCTTCTGATAACAAGTGCCTTGCATGGTGATTTTATTATACACTCTCTTTATTAAGAAATGAGATCAAAACGAGAAGAGGTGAGTCATTTATTTCACTGTTTTATCCCCTGTCAGTCAAATAGCTCCCAGAGGCATTTACACAAGTGTTATATTTATCAGTGACATTTTTTTAATTCAGGGTTTTCCCAGATACAGATAGGACTAAAAGTACTTCCAGTAAATAAAAGAAAAATTACTCAGGAATATATGAAAACATCTTTGCAATGACACATCGTATTTAGGATCTGTGTCTAAAATCTGAAATCTGCAATTTTTAATATGCTGAAACTTCTTAACTCTATTTCAGAGCTTGGAAAACTTATTTTTCTAATGACAACTTCTATAATCTCCCAAGGCAGCATAATGGATGGGAGTCAGAGAGCTGTACAGTAGTTCAAAAAGTAATTTATTCAAGCTGTCCTCCATTCAACTTCAATACAACTTACTTTTTCCTATTTGTGGGTACTAGTTCTGCTTCAAACTTAATGACATTTTACCTGTATCAGAATACATTTCTGAATGAGTGTTGTCTAAGCTAAATGGCATTTCCATAATCTTACTACAAGTGGTAAGAGGATAATACAGATGAGGGGTGTAAGATTTTACCTAACACAATGACTGGAGATGAGGTATATAAGTGAATATGTCTGAAGGGGAAGGAGCACAGAAAGGAACATTTATGTTTTTATTATTTTTAATTTGCTTTTGCATTATGACTTTTAGAATTGCACAGCCAGCAGTTATCATGTGGCTGTGGGATTCTAGTAGTTCTTATGCAAAAGAAGTTTTCTTTTCCTGTCTCTCAAAATGTCAGAAGAAAGGACACAGGAGGCAAGAATGAAGATGAAGCAGCAGAGATGTGAAGCCCTCAAGGGATGGAAGCAGTAAAGAAGCAGGAGCTTAGAGAAAGAACAAAAGGTGTCAGAAAGGTAACAGGTAGGAAAGGAAGAAAGCAATACAGGTAGGCAGCTGTTTACATTCCCACACACATTTGCACCATTTGGTATCATGAGTATCCCACTCATGAATGGTCAGTCCTTCAAAAGAGTCCTGATAACTTTGCTTCTCAAAATATAAAAGTATTAACCTTCAGAACCCCACCCAATGAGGCCCACATAAAAAGAGTGATACAAAAATTTCTGACAGAAATTTCTTAAGATCAGGAGCTGTTGCTTCAGTCAACCAACAGAACATAGCAACAGGACAATGAATATCTCATACATGCTACATCCTCTAAACACAAACAAACAAATTCTGGGGATGAAAGGGAGGAAATGTTTACAGAGTTTCATATGTCTGATATGTGAAGGAGGCTCAAATGGCCTCTTGTAATTTTTATACCAGGAGAGGAGGCAGGAATATTGGGCTCATTAAGAACCAATTTCTTTCTCAACAGAAGAGACAGGCTGTTTCTCAGAGCTTAAAAAAGTTGCTTCTTGGATTATAACTGCCAGAATCTCCTAGTATGGCTGGGGGGATACTGGTGTTTGTAATCTGAAATATAACCTTTCCAAGCTCTGCTACCTCCCTTGAACACCAAATAACTTGAGAATAAAGTTAAAGGCACAACCCATGTAACCGTCTATTCAGAATCAAGCCCCACAGAGAACCACTGTAGGGTAACTAGATACAGGAATGAAGCCTAACAACATAATCCTATCTATACATTCAGAATGAGGGCCCACTGACATTAATTTGGCATAGGTAAAGGTAACGGTTCCTCTTGACATTTAGGCCAGTCGTGTCCAACTCTAGGGCGTGGTGCTCATGCCCGTCTCCAAGCCGTAGAGTCAGCGTTTGTCCATAGACAGTTTCCGTTGTCACATGGTCAGCATGACTAGTCACAGAATGCTGTTACCTTCCCACCGTGGTGGTACCTATTTATCTACTCGTATTTACATGCTTTCGAACTGCTAGGCTGGCGGGAGTAATTAATTTGGTATATCCTCATTACTTGTATAGTAGTGCATCCAGACTGCAGTCCAACATCCTATGCATTTCTACCTAGAAGTAAGACCCATTGAAGTCAATGTACTCCTATATAATGTTGATAACAAGACTGTACTTTGAGTAGTTCCAATATATTGATGGGGGTTCCTAGTTTCACAATCACAGGTACTGAATTGCTGCAACTGTAGGAAACTTGTCAGACAAAGAGACTGACATATGAACACAGCCCATGAAACTCCTTTCGAAAGAGGATTCCAAACCCCCCCCCGGCTCCATGATAACTGCAGATGGAGACAGCAGCCACGCAATTAAAAGACGCCTGCTTCTTAGGAGGAAAGCAATGACAAACCTTGACAGCATCTTAAAAAGCAGAGACATCACCTTGCCAACAAAAGTCCGAATAGTCAAAGCTATGGTTTTCCCTGTAGTGATGTATGGAAGTGAGAGCTGGACCATAAAGAAAGCTGACCGCCGAAGAATTGATGCTTTTGAATTGTGGTGCTGGAGGAGGCTCTTGAGAGGCCCCTGGACTGCAAGGAGATCAAACCTATCAATTCTAAAGGAAATCAACCCTGAGGGCTCACTGGAAGGACAGATCCTGAAGCTGAGGCTCCGATAATTTGGCCATCTCATGAGAAGAGAAGACTCCTTGGAAAAGACCTTAATGTTAGGAAAGTGTGAAGGCAGGAGGAGAAGCGGACGACCGAGGATGAGATGGTTGGACAGTGTCATCGAAGCAACCAAAATGAATTTGACACAACTCCCGGAGCCAGTGGAAGATAGGAGGGCCTGACGTGCTCTGGTCCATGGGGTCACGAAGAGTCAGACATGACTAAATGACTAAACAACAACGATGATGAATTGGTGATCTCCAAAATGTCTCGTCTTCGATAACCCCAATCAGCTCTTGTAAACTCTAGCCTGTTAATTCCTTGATGGAGTCAGTCTATCTTGTATTTGGTTTTCCTTTTTTTTTCCTGCTGCTTTCAACTTTTTCCAGCATTACTGGATTTTCTTAAGAATTTTGCCTTATAATGTAAAGTATCACAGCTTCAGTTTTGCCATTTTTTGCCTCCAGAGACAGTTCGGGTTTGCAGTAAGAGCCAGTTGTTTGTCCTTCTGGCAGTCTGGGGTATCTACTAAGCTCTCATCCAGAACCACATTTCAAATGAATCAATTTTTTTGTTGTTGGCAACAATTTTTTGTTGTCAGTTTTTTTTACTGACCAGCATTCACACTCATATATGGTGATCAGAAGTACAACAGTGTGGATGATATTGGCCTTAGTCTCCAATGACACATGCCTACACTTAATGATCTTTACCATTTCCTTCATTGCTGCCCTTCTTAGTCCCAATCTTCTTTCTGATTTCTTGGCTGCCGTCTCCATTTGGATTGATGATTTAACCAAGATATGCAAAATGTCAATTTCTTCTTTATCAACGCTAAAATTATGTAGTTCTTCTTTAGTCATGATTCTTGCCTTCTTAACATTCAACTGCAGTACTGCTTTGGCACTTTCTTCTTTCATTTTCACTAAACGTCATTTCAAGTCATTGGTGCTTTCTGCCATTCAAAAACAGTAGGGTACAACAATCTGTTTTAAAATGCCACTTAGGCAGTGAGTAACTGAGAGAAAGCTTGCCTGAAGAGAAAGGTTTTTGCTTGCTTGTGGAAGGACAACAAAGTTGGGGCCAGTCTGGCCTCCTGTGGGAGGGAGTTCCAAAGTCTTGGAGCAGCACAGAGCAGGTCCTCT